CACACACACACACTCATTTTCTGTTTATTATAACAGAGACAAACTTGCTTGTTGTTTGCAATGAAAGGTAGCTGATCACAGCTTTTTCTAATGCCACATTTACTTCCATCTTACAACACATAATGTCATGATTGATTATCTGTCAAAGAGGCATAAGGTAAGGTATAAGTCCACCTTATACAGTTTTAGGCTTTGTGTCCACCCAAGCATTTTTTTCCCCACCTGAAAACGCTCTGGCCCTTCTCAGGAAATGCCCAGATGGGAGCACCTGAGAGCACTTGGGAGGTGCAGCATTTTTTCAGCTGAGACGCTTTGGTTGCATCTGGTTACTATGTGCATGTTCATGAGTGAAAACATATGTTAATACACAGTGTATTAATACATTTCTCCTCCACTGTTGTTGTTGTTCAGCACTTATGTATATAAGATGTGGCAGTTGGTCTTAGTGGTATTTGTCAAATAAGATGAAAAGATGTCCAAAGATGAACAGTTTTCAATTCTCTGCTCACGGAAAAAAATAATGTAAATACACTGCGCTCCCATTTCAAAGAATAAAAAAAAAAAAAATGCTGGCCTCAGGCTTTGGTGGACACAGCCCTTTAACATATACTATTCTGGCTCAGACAGCTCATCCTGATGTCTCAGTACAAACTGATACTATAAAATACCCTCAGGATTTAACATACATAGGAAAATACTACAGATTTTCACGACAGCTTGTACCTCTTTTGTCTCCTCCAGGTCCACGGGTCAGACTGTAAAACGGCAGACAGATAACCTGCACGTTGACTACTACGTCACTAGAGATTTCAAGTCGGAGTTTAAGGGCTCAGCGCTGCAGCAGATTGAGAAAAATGTGGAGGACGACTATGTATCTAATGTCAGAAATAACTGTTGGAAGGAGAGACAGACAAGTGAGTAACCGTGGTTATAAGACAGTCAGAAAGTAGCTCACTGAATTCAGTAATAATTTCTACTTTGTATATTTTTCCTGTAATATCAGTCACGTTGCTTTTCTGCTTTGTCTCCCCCAGAAACAGACCTGTTGTATGCAGCTAAGGTGTACAGGGACGACCGAATGCGCAAGAAGGCAGAGCTTATGACCATGGATAACTGCAGGGAGCTGGACAGACTAAATAACCTATTCAGAGGCGGATGAGTTGGACGCTTTTAGATCATATAAGTGTATATGAATAGATGTGTATGTTCATGTTTTTTAAGAAAGAGTCTTTACACTAGGAGCAAAAACTTAATGAAATAATTTAGCTCTATTGTTGAAGTTTTAAAAGAAATGTCCCTCTCCTCATATCTCGACACCAACTTCCTCACTCCAGCCTGACCCCAGGAGCCGCCTTGTTACATCTTAATGAACCAGTCTACACACACTGTAGAAAGCTCCAGACCGTTTTCCTTTTTTTTTTTTTACTCTGCTTTTCTTATATTTTGGAAACAAGAAGGACAAGGACACTTGATTGTAAAGGCATGTGCTTTGAGTAGTGAGAACCCAAACAATTCACTGTCTTAAGATCAACCAACAGCTTTTCGGCATCATCTGCTCGCCATAAGATGAGAGACTCTGTAGGTGTGTTCGGAGGCGCTGTCCTCCAGCCAAATCCATTTTGTGAAGAACACGGGAACAAATGAAGAAGAGAAAATAACAGTGCTTCTTCTAGCTTCCTACTCACCTCAGATACCTGTGATTTTGCTACTAGAGAACATTTTACGTCACCATCTTCAAAATGTAAAAGTTGGTTGGGACTGAACATGGAAGGACATTGAAACTGTTATTCATAAATGGTTGTACATTTTCATTTTTGAATGTTTGAACTTTATGCAGTTATTTAAGAAACTATAGAAGAAACAGAGTTTTTCTTCAGTGCTCGCCTAATCATTTAAATAAAGTAAAATTATTACCATAGACTGGATGTATTTGTGTCTCTGACTCAGCTGTCAAAGGTTCAGTCCACCCCCTATAAACCTGAATAAATAAATAAATAAATAAATAAGCACACTTTCTCACATCTAGTGGTCGGCTATGTTGCCATGCAGACGTTGGCTTTATTTACCAAAGTTATGTCATTTCTGAGATTTCTGCTGCAGCAGTGGCAGTGAATGGACTATTTATTTGGTACAAAGTCTCAAGTAACAACGACGTTGTTGATGCGCTGCACAGTACATTCACAAAAGTTGTGTTCTTCAGTGTCATTTTGACTTTTTTAATCTTCAACATGTAAAAACCTGCCAGATTCTTTCATATAGCCCACCACAATGGTTTAATTTGGACTGCAGCTGGGTGATCATGTGTAACTCCTGTCTCTGATAAGCAGGCTTACAATAACTGACTTTCAATACTGAAATGGGACACTGATAATCTTACACTAAGATCATGCCATGGCCAGATGAACCCACTAGAGGAAGCTGTACAGCAAAAATGGAAGGTGCCCCCACTCTGCCTTAAATGATGGCAGCAGTCCTGTCTATATGTAGAATAAGTCCATCTATTTCATTTTTTTTATTCATTGTCTAACAAAATACAGTATGAACCATTGGTGGAAGAAGTACTCAGATTCTCTCAATAAAAGTCTTGCATTCAAAATATGCAAAAGTGATATCAGCAAAGTGCAGCTAAGGTATCAAAAGTAAAAGTACTTAAGATACAGTACAGGCCAAAAGTTTGGACACACCTTCTCATTCAATGTGTTTTCTTTATTTTCATGACTATTTACATTGTAGATTCTCACTGAAGGCATCAAAACTATGAATGAACACATGTGGAGTTATGTACTTAACAAAAAAAGGTGAAATAACTGAAAACATGTTTTATATTCTAGTTTCTTCAAAATAGCCACCCTTTGCTCTGATTACTGCTTTGCACACTCTTGGCATTCTCTCCATGAGCTTCAAGAGGTAGTCACCTGAAATGGTTTTCCAACAGTCTTGAAGGAGTTCCCAGAGGTGTTTAGCACTTGTTGGCCCCTTTGCCTTCACTCTGCGGTCCAGCTCACCCCAAACCATCTCGATTGGGTTCAGGTCCGGTGACTGTGGAGGCCAGGTCATCTGCCGCAGCACTCCATCACTCTCCTTCTTGGTCAAATAGCCCTTACACAGCCTGGAGGTGTGTTTGGGGTCATTGTCCTGTTGAAAAATAAATGATCGTCCAACTAAACGCAAACCGGATGGGATGGCATGTCGCTGCAGGATGCTGTGGTAGCCATGCTGGTTCAGTGTGCCTTCAATTTTGAATAAATCCCCAACAGTGTCACCAGCAAAACACCCCCACACCATCACACCTCCTCCTCCATGCTTCACAGTGGGAACCAGGCATGTGGAATCCATCCGTTCACCTTTTCTGCGTCTCACAAAGACACGGCGGTTGGAACCAAAGATCTCAAATTTGGACTCATCAGACCAAAGCACAGATTTCCACTGGTCTAATGTCCATTCCTTGTGTTTCTTGGCCCAAACAAATCTCTTCTGCTTGTTGCCTCTCCTTAGCAGTGGTTTCCTAGCAGCTATTTGACCATGAAGGCCTGATTGGCGCAGTCTCCTCTTAACAGTTGTTCTAGAGATGGGTCTGCTGCTAGAACTCTGTGTGGCATTCATCTGGTCTCTGATCTGAGCTGCTGTTAACTTGCGATTTCTGAGGCTGGTGACTCGGATGAACTTATCCTCAGAAGCAGAGGTGACTCTTGGTCTTCCTTTCCTGGGTCGGTCCTCATGTGTGCCAGTTTCGTTGTAGCGCTTGATGGTTTTTGCGACTCCACTTGGGGACACATTTAAAGTTTTTGCAATTTTCCGGACTGACTGACCTTCATTTCTTAAAGTAATGATGGCCACTCGTTTTTCTTTAGTTAGCTGATTGGTTCTTGCCATAATATGAATTTTAACAGTTGTCCAATAGGGCTGTCGGCTGTGTATTAACCTGACTTCTGCACAACACAACTGATGGTCCCAACCCCATTGATAAAGCAAGAAATTCCACTAATTAACCCTGATAAGGCACACCTGTGAAGTGGAAACCATTTCAGGTGACTACCTCTTGAAGCTCATGGAGAGAATGCCAAGAGTGTGCAAAGCAGTAATCAGAGCAAAGGGTGGCTATTTTGAAGAAACTAGAATATAAAACATGTTTTCAGTTATTTCACCTTTTTTTGTTAAGTACATAACTCCACATGTGTTCATTCATAGTTTTGATGCCTTCAGTGAGAATCTACAATGTAAATAGTCATGAAAATAAAGAAAACGCATTGAATGAGAAGGTGTGTCCAAACTTTTGGCCTGTACTGTACATTATGCAGTATGGATCCTCTCATGTTATGTTATTATGATTTTTTTTATTACTGGTAGCAATGTTGCAGTGAGTCAGGATGGAGGTATTTAAACAACTTTATGTTTTGTTGTGTAGGCTAATTTATAACAATAAATCCTTTTTTAATTGTAAAATCTTAATCTGCAGAGTAGCCAGTAACTACAGCTGTCAAATGAGTGAGAAGTATAAAGTACAATATTTGAAATGTAGTGCATAAAATGTAAATACTTAAACAACAAATAGCTCAAATTGTACATTGGTATGCATTAATTATAACTAAAGTATGTGTTATATGTGGACTGATCATGGTCAAACAGCCTCCATAAATTCGACATTGCATTTTTATTTCAGAGGTATACATGTAGTCTGAGTTAGATTTTAAAATGTACCTGCACTCTTCATGCGGTGCCATTTTCTTTGTACTTTGAGTAATGTAGGCCAAAGGTGAACTGTGGATCAATATGAATGAATTACTGAATTGTGCTGCTCCAAATACGGGAAAGCTAGATTTTTTAATTGATAAAATACATTAAAACAACGTGCCTGGCGCTAAAATTAATATTTAAAATATACATTTTTATAACATATTTTGATTTATCACAAGCCTGTATTTTTCTTTACTGACGTTTCATCTGATGACATCATCTTAATTGGCTTATCAGCAGTCACGTGACATCGTCAAACCCGGAAGCGATGTAGCGCACTTACCTGCTATGTGTCCAAGCTAGGCAGAGAAATGAAAACAACCAGAAGTGAAACTTGAGATGCCTTCAAGACAACATTTTTAGGAATATATCCGCCGAAGTTACGCCAAGGTGCCGCGAGACGCTGGTTTCAGGCTCTGACGTCAAGTGGACGATGCTCTACCACAGCTACATCTGTGTGTTTCTGTTGGGGTTGTACTGTTGTGGATGTGTCCCATGTGTGTCTGCCTGCAAACACGAGCCAGAGACCCCAGACTGGAGGTTGACTCTGAAGACTATCCGTAACGGAATACACAAGATTGACACGTACCTGAACGCAGCACTGGACTTGTTTGGAGGCGATGACGGACTGTGTCATTACAGGTGTAGTGATGGTAAAGATTATTTCTTTCTTCTGTCTTATACATGTGTAACGAATGACACTTAATGTGGCTATGTGCCATTTAGGAGTGCCAGGACTCTTGTGTCATGCATGCTGACCTACTGACACACCTACACATCACTGAATATTCATACATGTGCTTGTCATGTTAAATCAAAATGAAAAATCCATGGACAAAGCTACAGGAGACAGTGAATGTTACAAGATAGACATTATCGCCTCTTGAGCAGCTCAGTAAGCCATTAAATTGTAGTACTGTTTGTCCTGATGTGGTTATCATTGACAGCAAGATAACTGACCGGCAGAACAAGACACATCTTCACCTTTGCTCCTCTCTCTCAGGTTACAAGCCGGTGCCTCGTCCCGGGTACAAGCAACCACCACCCAACGGATGTGGCTCCCCGCTGTTTGGATTTCAGGTAGGCTGACAGAGTTAGGGAGCTGGTTTGAGGTTTCTTACATGTCTGGGACACACACAGATGGTTACCATGTGATTCCTGTTGTGCACGGAAACCCAAACACCATTATTCATGTACACTGACTGTTGCCTTTATTTTATTGCAAAGGTGTACACACATTATACAACACGTTTAGTCTACATTACATCAAGGTACTTTGTGAATAAAAAAATAAATAATACATATCATGTTGATATCAGTCTATTGCAGCTATATTGATATTGGCATATATATTGACCGATGAATTAAAAAAAAATGCAGTAAAGACATGCCAAACATATTCTAACACTGTCACCATTCCATAGATTATACACCAAAGTTGGGGTGGGTGATATGGCCCCAAAACAAAATCAAAATATTTCAGGGTATTTTTGCGATAATGATATTGTTAACGATATGACAAATTAGTTAAAAAAAAAAAAAGTATTATTAATTAATTTTCATAAACAATAACAGTACCTCAGAGTGAGATTCAGATTCTGTATACAATATTAATAGTACAACAAAATAAAATCTACCACAAATTACACATTTAAATAGCTCCTAAATACAAAAAATGTCCCCTGGGATCTATATATATAAATCAACAGCTGATTTCCTTCTTTTAGCAAAAGCCTAAATGATTGAGTTGTTTTTTTTCCACCTGGACCTTTATGTTCTGCCATTTCTCCTCTAATCATCACGCTGTAACCTGTGACAGGCTGTTATGATACCACAACTATCGCACATTCACATACATGTATTTTTTTTGTCGAGCTGCGGCATGTAGGTTTTCCTTAACAGAGGTAAATGACAAAACGACACTGAGTCCCATGTGTGCACGAGAGAGAAGAGAAGGAGAGACTTTGTGCTGCTGCCAGAGGAGTCACTGAATGAGTTCCCTCTGCGTGGAGGGTAACTTGCTAAGAGTCTGAGAAGTCCGAGGCTGTTCATAAAACATTCAAGAAGCCCAGGCCTAATGACGCCACAGTTTATTCCACACCACGGAAGCTGCTCCTCCTTTTTAAACCACAGCAGAGTCACTAATAATTTTGCTTTCAGCCATGCTTGTTCTTGCGGTGGGTAACAGTAGTGTCAAAAAGTCTAAATATTGCAAGTATCAGGATATGAATTTTTTTATGTGATTTTAAAATTATACCAATATTATCGTGAACAAGTTGATATGGCACAACCCTATGCCCATGAGTATTGTATGTTTGTTTTAAAACCATAATGTGTACATTTTAGTGTATATCTCGGGCACAACTCTTAAATAACCAAGGTCCAGTGTTGCAATGTTGCAGCCTCACTGCTAGATGCTGCTAAATCCTACACACTAGACCTTTAAGGATCCTTATCAAAATTGTCAATTTATGTTATACATTTACCGTAAAACGTGGTGTATAAGTCGCACTTTTTTCCCTTTTTTTAATCTAAAAAGTTGGGTGCGGGTTATAGACCGGTGCGACCTATAGACCAAGGTAAATGCTGACATAGGTAATTTGACCCACAAGATGGCGCTACGTAGTAATTTAACCTCATTCGTTTTTGGGATTTGAGTAAGCATGTATAGTTACAGCCCACACTGTAATAAGGTACTGTAATGCTGTCTTCTTAAAAAAGAAAAAAGAAGTTTAACGTTAATTTAAACTAATTTTTATGGCTCAGATGTTGTTATACCGTAATTTTATTTCCTGAAGAGGTTGTTTGGAAAATTGCAATCTGAAAAGTAAACAAAGCTGCTTAAGAGGTGATTGTGTTTTGAATGTGTTTCAAATTAAAAATAAAGGGAAACAGTGTAGGAATAACTTGTATAACGTTTTTATTAACAAATAGTAATATAAAACCTTGTTTTCCCTGTTTGAGACCTTAAAAAATAGACTGCGACTTATATGCCAGTGCGACTTATATTC